TAGATGGGATAAGAATCTGGCCCCGATAGTGATTTTGTTCTCGTTTTTGCTTATCCCGCGATGGGGGTTGCGATATGATTGCATCTTGCATAATCAACGATCCGAAGTCTGGTCCCGCGAACGCCGCGCGAGAACACGTGTAAACGCGATCCGAGTCGCGCCCTTACACGCCTTCTCGTGCGTCGATTCGCTCACCCAAAAAGGAATCGCGGGGGAACCATCATCCCGTACGAGCATGCTGAGGCGCCACTGAGTCTGCCTGTCCTACACATGCTCGTACGATATCCCAACCCGCGCTATCCCATCGACAATGATATCATGACGCGATCTTGGGGCTCAGACTCGTCCTATGACCCGGACTACTTCACCCCTATAATAAACGAGCTCATAAGGACACGATACCCCTGTCACACGGAGAATCGGCTATGTCCGTGGGAATTCCACTGTGCCACCTCTAGCGACCCTCGGTGCTCCGATTTCCCTTCTCCCGACCACACCTACTACTTCACCCACCCGGGATTCGTTGAGATCACCACCAGTTTCCCTCCTTTCCGCCTCCTTCTCCCGTATCATCAACTCAGTGTCGTTCCGTGGCCGGCCATAGCCCCCTATTGGCCCAATACGTTTTGCGTGAACTGCCGACTCAACGGCGCACAAAGAACTTCGGAATTCCGAAGGCCCAACCCAGGTACGCGGCGGCCTGCGCCACGTGGCGGCCCCCGACGGCCTAACTTTTCAGGACCATCTCCGCCACGGAGGAATTTTCCCGTAACCTGCCGCCCACAGTGTCCCGGCCCCTTCGGACTGTGAAACCCTTGCGCGCGCCTCCCCTCGTTCGCCTAATTGCATTCATACCCTTAAGACTCCCCCACTTCCCCCAAAAATCCTTGGCACACCCTTTTCGCACTTTTAGGCCCACACTCCACTCCGATCAGGAAGTCGCGCTGGGCGTGAGGTTGGGCGTCACAAGGCATCCAGTTCCCACCCAAAGAATGCCTCAGCCCACCCCTTGCCCTTGTCTGCCTCCGCTGTGGTATGATGCCGACCCATACATCTCCCCCAACCCCAGAATAGAGCATCCCTCCAAAATCTACCCCATCTCCTTTCAGGGCAATCACCTCCCTCCTTGTGAAGCCCTTGCAGAGTGGAGCTCTCCCCCTCAGAACCAGCCCACCACCCCACCAGATACAATTTGTATATTTTTAAGAGGAGTATCCTAAATCTTGGACGTTCCTGTGGATTATTTCCCCCCCCTTTCCTCCATCTCCCCCTGTCCCTCCGCTGCCTCCGTCGAAAAGGACTGTTGGGACACACCTGCTTCCTCCCCCATCTTCCACTAAGGCATCCCACCCAAAGTATGCCTCAGCCAACCCCTTACCCCGAACTGCCTCCGCTGGGATATGATGTCACCCCATACATCTCTCCCAGCCCCAGAATAGAGTATCCCCCAAAATCTGCCCCCCCTCCCTCCAGGGCATTCACCCCCCGCCTTGTGAAGCCCCTGCAGAGTAGAGCTCTCCTCCTTAAAGCCCCNTATCCCCCAAAATCTGCCCCCCCTCCCTCCAGGGCATTCACCCCCCGCCTTGTGAAGCCCCTGCAGAGTAGAGCTCTCCTCCTTAAAGCCCCACCTCCCACCCCCTCAAAAATAATTCATTAGTGTGCCCAAACGGTAGTTAGAAATTAATAGTGGAAAAAGGAAAACGAAAAACGTGATGGGGAAAAGGTAGATAGAGTTTTTTTATACTTTGTTGATGACGGTGAACAGTACCCTGAAGATGATGATGATTAGGATGATGGTGACGACCAACTCTCCTGCTGTGCAAACGATTAATGATGATTGATGCTGATGATGCTGATGCTGATGCTGATGATGCTGACGCACAGCGCCCTGTAATGACAACAGGATGATGATGGTGGTGATGGTGAGCATCACCAGTGATGATGACTTGATGATGACGATGATGATGATGGTGATGGCGAGCATCACTAATGATGATGATTTGATGATGATGATGATGATGATGATGATGATGATGATGATGATGACGATGGTGATGATGATGATGATGATGATGATGATGGTGATGGTGATGGTGATGGTGATGGTGATGATGACGCAAATGATGGTGTTGATGGCGAGCACCTTTGATGATAGTACCCTGATGATAATGATGGTGGTGACAAGCGGCACCCTGATGATGACGACGAAACATTTTCGTGATGACGATGTCGATGATGATGATGAACCACGCCCTGTTGATGATGTCGATGATGATGATGATGACGAGCAGCACCCTGATGATGATGATGCTAGCAAACCTTGATGATGATAATGACGATGATCAGCTTGATGACGAACTGCGCCCCTGTTAGCTTCGTTATGATGGCGCGACCTGATAGTGATAGTGATGGTCTAGGATGATGGCGAGCCGTACCCCAATGGCAGGCCGTTACTGTAATCTCTCACACTTCAGGGTACCTAGGGCTAACTCCACTGCACTCCACAGACATCGACAAAGCCAACGCCTCTCAGGACGAAAGCCACGTGCAGCAACGCAGCGGCAATGAAGCAAAACGTGGAACTCCCAGAAACTAGACATCATCGGGAGTCAGACCATCTGCCACATCAACTTGTGAGATGGTGTGGTCAAGAGCATGCGGTCTCCTGCGCGTGCCAGAACTTCAAAAAAGGCCGCCATCGCCGCCGCGCGCCATCTCCAGGAGCACGTAGCGTCGGGCGGGGCGCAGCGCTCCCGGTAGCGCTGCGCCCCCGCCGCTTGCCGCAAGGAGTCTATCTGTTGCCCTAATTTTCCTACTTGGGAAAGCCTGAATGCATGAATGACACCATGGTAGAGCCAAACCTCTTTGTTTAGTGTAGAACGGTCTATCAACCAATCATTAGTTGGTAAGCATCTATGATTTATCTGCCATTGCAATGATGCAAACTTTGCAGGTCTTTCCTTGAGTCCATGGCACCACTTGATTGGTTTGAGTGAGTCTTTATAGATGTTGAGATGTCACACCCAGCGGTCTTGCATAATATCTTGGACGTTTATTCTGGGCCGCAATAGTCTGTATGACGCCTTAACTCTCCATAAATTTCTCAATTTGACAATATGATCTTGAATGGGACGCTGGGCCCGGTTCCCAGCACGTGCTGCTCCCCACGAATAGATTGGAGCATGTTTCCAAAAAAAGAAAAAAAAGAAATGCGGACATTTTAATGTGTCATCCGGCGGAGACTTAAAGAAGAGTATTGGAATGGCAAACAAAAAAATTAAGAATGTGAACAAGATGGTGATTGCCTGAACCTACGGCATATTAAAAGAAAGGTCCTAAAAAATTCCACGTGAGGAAGTCAGACGGGCAATAAATTGAATTTTTTCCAAAGTGAAGGAGAAGGGCAAGCATTGGGTACGATTTAAAATAAGAGGAAAAGGAGCATGCCTGGGAAAATCTGCAGGGGAAGTTGGTTGTAAGTCCGTTTGACTCTCACATTTGGAAAAACTTGTGGACTACACTTTGGATAACGTATTTTTTTAGGGGTTGTTCTAGGATTAGAAGGCCAGATTTGCTGATATAGCATAATCTTCTAGATTTCTTTCATACTAATCGTCATCATCATTAGCATCATCATCATTCGTATCATTATCTCATATTTTTCATAGAATCATTAGAGTTCATCATCATCATCATCGTCATAATCATCATAATCATCATCATAGGAGGGACGCTGAGCCCGGTCTCAGCTTGTTCAGTTCCGTCACTCTGGGTAGACTGTGAGGACCCCGGCCCCAACCTTCTTATTGGTAATATCAGCCTTGGGCACTGGGCCCGTTTAAAAATAATAATAATAATAATAAAAATAAAAATAAATCTGCAGGGGAAATAATGAAACGAAATAAAGGTATCCCAATGGGTGGGCAAGCTAGTCGTTTATTTATTCATTATTGTTTATGGGGACCGAGTACCCGGTACCAAGGTAGTAGGCCCAGGAACTGGGTTTTTGACAAGTTACCATATCGAATCCTCCTTCCCCCTTCGCCCCCCCCCAGACTTCCCTGATGCCTTCCCACCCCATGCCCTCTCCCTAATGGAAATACTGACATAAGGACTATGGCCAAATCCTGGTGCCCTTCCTACCCCATGCCCTCTCCCTAATGGAAATACTGACATAAGGACTATGGGCGAATCCTGGTGCCCCTGGGTAACGGCCATTGTACCTAGCCCGTAAGCCATCAAAGGCAGGATGTGGAGAGGGGAGACGGCAAACAGGATTCAAGGGAGGAGAAGCTTCTAGCAGGATGCGATGACTTTCTGGTTCATATGATTGAGAGATAGTTGGGGGAGGAAGGAACTAGGTTGTTAAACCACCAGTACTTGGGCCATACATCGGTCGCGGGCCTTCCACGTTAACACGCCGCATTCTTAGGGGCTCGGGGGAGGGTTGGAAGCGCTATGGGGGAGGAAGGTGGCGGGCCCAGGGAAAACTGCCCAACGGACTCCAGTATGTCCTCTTGGATTTCCGTGCATGTGGAAACATGCACTTCGCTGTGTGCAATGCCATAAAAGAAAAACGAGAAAAGAAACTTGCAAGGACGTGAAATGGAAAAGGACAAAAAAAAAAGAAAAAAGGAAAAGTACAGTTAGCAGAGCATTTTCATGATAGCACTTCGACGTATGTATCTGGATGCAGTTTCAGCCTAAAGCCAATGACGTTTTCAACTTTTCATTGCTTTCCTTTTCTTTTTTCCCACAGAAGAGAGAATCCTGGCAGTTTCTCGGCTGACTCCCCGTGAGAAACAGGGAGCATCCAAGTGCCTGACACAAAATGAATGTTTTAGGCACTTTCCCAAAATGAATGTATACTCCGTCAATTGTGGGAGCATTCAAGTTCCTGTCATGAATCTGAAGGCACTCGCGTTGCACACCATCTTTTCCCCTTTTTTTTTTTTTTTTTTTGCTGCAAAACAAAGGAAAAAAAAGAAGAATTTGGGCTCTATCTCGCATGCCCCAAAGGGAAGCACTACCTCGAGAATGTACTCTCCCGCAGTTGTGGGCAAGTACTCACGAATAGGAAGGAGGACGTGCAGCCACCTTTTCTGCCTTTCTGTTTTTCTTCTTGCAAAAAAAAAAAAAAACTCAGGTGTATCTCATGTGACTCTTTTTTTTTTTTTTTTTTTTTTTAAATTCGTATACGGGAAACCTACTTAACGAGGTGATAAGAGCATCCCCGATAAGTAGGCCCCAACGTTGAAGGCTCCGTCTATTGGTGGGGAGCTACACCTGCTGGAAATCGGGTCCAGCATCCGGATACATCGATATGTATCTGGGTCCTACTGAGTATTTGTTCATCAATCTACACATGTCCCATGGGGGGAGAACCCTATCCACCCATTGTCTGTGTCCTATTATGTATCTAGTACTATCTGTATTTGTTCATCAATCAAAACATGTCCCATGAAGGGAGAACCCTATCTACCTAGTCTACCATATGTCCATAGCGAGCAAGGTATCATGCCTGATTCTGTCGATCACACCAGAAGTCGTAACCCAAATTTTGATGTGATCAGTGATCTGTGTTCATGTGGGGAAAACCCTATCTACCTATTCTGCCATTTCTCCATAACGAGCAAGGCCTCAAACCCAATCCTATCAATCGAAGCAAGGGTCGAAACCCAAGTGGGTTTTTTCTCCTGGAGTGCCCAGCTCATAATCGGACAGCATGTTTTATATATTTGTGTACTGTGTGTTCTTCTCTCCATGAGCGGAATACAGAAGGACAATGACGAGCATAAGATGAAACTGGATAATTCAGTACACTCCAACGAGGAGTGAAAATCCAGCTCATAGTCGGTGCTACATGGTTTATATCTTTGTGTACTGCATGCGCTTCTGTCCATGAGCTGAATACAGAAAATTGAGCTTGTAATTGTTTGTGTATACTGATGATTGTATTACGGAGAATATAGAAATTTCAGACTAAAATCGGTAGCGAGCGTTTTATAATTTTTGCGCGTTCCCTGTCCTTCGTTTCACGAGCTCAATACAGAAAATTGAGGTTATAATTATAAAAAGCCTCAAAGTCTCCCCTGATCCCGATTCACTCACCCGACCCCCGATCAGAGAGACCGCCACCCTCTCCCCACGCGCCTTGTCCCCCCCCTCCTTTCTCTTCCCCTCAACCCCTATCCCGATCCCGGTGTCCCGGCTCCGTCCTATCACCCCACCCCCCCGTCCCCCGATCCCGACCGTCTCCCCTGTGTGACACCACGCGTCTCGTCCCCTCTCCCCTTCACCCCTGTCCACGCTCCCACCCCGCCTTGCTTCCCCGATCCCTGTTGTCCCGGCTTCGATTCGTCACCCCGCCCCGACTCCGCTCGCCACGACGTCCTCCGCTACCCACCCCGATCCCAATCTCGGATACCCGCCCTCCCTCTGCACGAGATGCCCCCCACCCCTTCCCCTCCCTCCCCTGCCC